TATATATATAGTTTTTATTTTACTGTCACGGCTTTAACCCTCCTTTGAATTATGGCTTGGAAAAAAGACAAAGTTGTTATATTGTAAGGATCTATTTTAGCCTTAGAAATGTTTTAATGAACATCCCATCATGAATCAGTCAGCAGCAGCTTCTTCCTAACATGATTTGTTTCCAGTCTGGATGGGATGATATCTGTCTGCAGAAGGGAGGGACGCAGTGTGAAGAAGCCTCCTGTCGGTGCTCTGGGACCGGGGAGGAGCTCTCAGCAGAACCTGCTGTGTTCATKTCAGAGTCTCCATGAGTCTGAACAACACCAGAAACAGAGTCCATAGATCTTCACTCGATGTCTGAGGCTACGTTCACACCGAGCACGGTTAGAGCTTCTAAAACACGTGTGACAACTCAGGTTAGACACTCTACATTCAGACTGGGACACAGACTAGACGTGCGTCTGAAGAGGGAGGAGCATCTTGAKTTTGTTCAAGTCTGTCTTTGGTGTATGAAATAAAGATAAATAAAGAAAATGGCTTTGATTTATTTATTAAAGAGCAAGTGAACATTGCACACAGTAGATTGACCAGATGATTTAGAGACGGTTTGTTCGGTTAGTTTCAGTCCAGGAGCTGTGAGCTGATGGACTGTTTTTTGTCCTGAGCCCAGTTTAACACTGTGGTCAGTTTAACGAGCTGCTGACCCACATCGGTGCTGATACCTCCTGTCAGACCACCAACTGCAGACGGTCCATTTCAGCTGAAGATCTCCTGTCCGTCTGTTTCAGGTTAATGGACAACATTCAGGAAACTGTCACGTGGAAACACAAGTCTCTGATTGGTTTCTGCGACGCGTCGAGCAGCTAAAGTACAAAATTTTTAACTTGAGTGTTTTTGCTGCTTTGGACGCACCGCATGCACGGAAAACACTCAACCACACCTTCCACTTCCTTGTGCGCTGCGCTAAATGGACTCAGTGCGCCGCGAGACCCCTAGAGGCACGTCCACCATGGACTTTACAAACGTTCAGTGTGAACGAAGCATTATCCAAAGTCTTATCTTCCACAACCCACCACCTCATGTCTGCTGTACTTCAGGTCATTTCCATCACGCTGTGAAACGGTCAAATTATCATACAAAATGACATTTTTGGAATTATTGATCGTACATCGTACAGAGGGCAAAATCATCATACAAATATAATAATCACTGTACGTCTGGCAACTCTGCTGTCAATCAATCCATAAACTAATCCACACGTCACAATCGTAACACACTGTACTCGTTTGTACCTGCTTAGAACCACAGGAGAGGAGGTTCTGAAACAGTCAGGCTGAACCACAAACAAGTGTGTCGCTGCAGATACATTCATTACAGAATATTTCACATTACATACGTAATGTGAAATATTTTAAATGGTAAATGGCTTGAACTTATACAGAGCCTTATCAGACCCCAAGGTGCTTTACACTACAGACATTCACCCATCCACACATCCACACACACATTAACACACACATTCACACACACACATTCACACACACATTCACACACACATTCACACACACATTCACACACACATTCACACACACATTCACACACACATT